CCCAGCTTTAAAAAAAAAAAAAAAAAAAAGACACTAGTGCTGGGAATCCAAGTTAGGTGCAACAAACAGTTTGCTAACTTAGCTGCCTCCCAGCCTCTGATAACACTCTATAGGCCACTGGCAAGTTCTGAGGCTGTGTGGGGGAAAGCAGTGTCATTTGCTCCTTAGTTCCAGAAGGTAGATTTTTTCCTTTTCCCTTCATTTCTGCCTTTTATGCTATAACCAAACTAAAAATGATAATCGTAGCTCCGAGATTACCTTGTCCTGTTTCCAGCTCCCATCAGTAGATGAACACGGCTCTAAGATGGACGCAATGCTTCCATGAGGAAACAGAGCCCAGACAGGCAGCAGTGAAACCATGTGTAAGTGTGGATTCCCCCAAAACACAACTTAAACAAGGGTTGAGGCGGAGGTGGTATATTGGGGAGATGAGGCAGGAAGCAGACCTGTGACTGGAGCATGATCTGAAGGAGGGAAGTCCATCACTGGGGCATGAGGAGACCACTTCTGTACCAACAGTCCCCTTGCAGGGACTCTGGGGAAGGCTTGAAAGCCTCTAGTAGGAAGGCCATAGCCACCCAGCACCTCTTTCCCGGTGTACAAATTCATTAGCACAGACTCAGGAGGAGCCTGAAACTGGAAGCCAGCAGTCAGATCACCCAACAGGAAACTCATAACTGTGGTGAAGCCAGACTTCGCCAAAGGCATGGATATGAACATTTAAGCTTTGCCAAAAATATTCCTGTCACCCAGTGTAGGACACTGTGTGAACTGGATACACATGGAAGGAGGGCTCAAGGGGACCCTGGCCTGGTACAAAAGTGAGAGGAAGTGGTGAGCAGAGAGAGGGTCTAGGAGCAGGGTGAAGTCTGCCCTGAGAAGTCTGGTCTGAGCCTGGAAAGTGGTATAGTAGTATGCCTGGACAACTTAGTTACCAATAAATTTATTGGCAGGCCTCTTTTCTCCTTCATCCCCTCTCCTTAGCTTCAGGTTCTATCCTCTCCCCATGTCTCATGTGGCCATCCCTCTATGATGAGACTATGGCTGTGTTCTTTCATGCCCCTCTCAGTCAGGTTGGATGAGGGTCACCATGTGACTTCATGTCACTTAACCACCTCTGCTAAGGCCTAGTCTCCAGCAGGCACATTCTGGGGCACTGGGGTTCATAACTTCATCCTGTGCATTCGAAGGGGACTCAGATCAGCACTCTTGTTTGCCTCAGCTCTGAAAAGCTCTGAAGAACCTGTGCCCAAGAAACAGCACAGGCAGAACCCTCAGCAAATGTCTAGACAGATACTGTGCCAGGCACACTGCCCTCCAGGGCGCCAGTGGATGGCTGGGTCAGCAGCTTTCTCAGGGAGGCAGCTTCCTGTGGTAACCTCTGTTCCATCCCAGCTGGGGAAACAACATCCCTGAGGTGGGTGGAGAATGAAAACCACAGCAAGGCCATGGCCTTCCGCCCTCTACCCTCTGCATCTGCCTCACTTCTGTCAACTCACAAATGCCTCTCCATCATCTTATTCTCTCTATCTTGGTGTGAAAGAAGGGTGCTACACTAGCTCACCCCTTACAGAGCTGTGGGGGGAATGGAATATCTAATAAAGAGCAATGATTACAGAGTGCTGAGTAAGACCTGAATTCAGATGAGTTCCCTTCTGACAATAAGACACTGAGATAATCTCTGACTGAGAACTGCAGCGTGGGGTGCGTGCATACATGTGGGGGGGGTGTGGTGTGTGGTGTGTGTGTGTGTGTGTGTGTGTGTGTGGTGTGTGTGTGTGTGTGTGTGTGTGTGTGTGTGTGTTGCTCCATGTTCAGACCAACCTCAGGTGCCCTTCCTCAGAAGCCACCCACTTTTCTTTTTAGGTAAAGTCCCTCATATTCCAAATAGGCTAATTTGGATGGCCAGAAAGCCCCAAAGACCTGCTGTCTCCACTTTCCCAGCACACACCTCCATGCCCAGCCTTTTACATGGATTCTAGGAATAAAACCCAGGTCCACTTGGTCATAAGCCAAGCTCTTTAAGAGTTGGGTCTTCCCACCTCCCACCAAGTCCTTTTTCAGACTTTCCACAGAGTGGAATGGAGGAGACTGGGGACAGGGAACCCCATCTGGGCCTGACATGCCATCTGCCAGCTGTTGTGGGCTCAGAGAAAGAATTCAGGCAGCATAGGTAAGTGTCAATCACTCCAAACTTCCCTCCCAGACAGCACAGGGGAGTGCAGAGCACTCTAAATTCCCAGGCAGCGTAGGGGAGTGGTGAACACTGCAAACAACCCTTCCAAGAGACAAAAGTAGCTTCCACCATCTCGAGGACCCTGGTGTACACATGCTTCTCCTCTTTGAGTAGGAGCACAAGTGAATGGTGGCATGCGGAGTTGAACAACAGAACAACTCAAGCCCTTGTATTGCCTTTGTCACTGTGCCCACTTTTCAGCAGAGCCTTGGTGCTCACTGAGCCTGCAGGCTTTTGGAAGGCTAGGCCTTTGAAGTGGACTGAGATGGACATAAGAGGGGGTCTGGGCACTGTGGACAAGGAGCAGTTGGATCAGAAACACAAGCACACAGCAGCTGACCGCTTGTAGCTCTGTGGCTGGATGAACATGTTATAGCTGTCCTGTGTTAGAGAAGGAAGGGCAGGGTTCTACAGCCCCAGTAAGACCAGCCATCAATGTTGACGGTGTTCCTTAAGTAAGAAATTCCTAAGGAAGAATGTTTCCCCCATAGAGCCAGGTCAGCGCTGTGGAGCTAGAGGCCTTGTCCTCCTGGTGGAGCCACCTAGAATTGCTTAAACTGGCAGGCTGGGTTTAATATGTCAGCTTGGCCACCTCCTAGACAATGACTTTTCATGTATCATGCACCCTCCTAGGCCCCCATTTTCCCCTATGACATGAAGTGTCAAGGCAGTTTGTTACATGTGTAATGCAGGATAGTGTTTCTGACCTGTGGCATGTGCTTAGCAAATACTAATTACTAGCAATTGTGACATTTGGTAGAGGCAGACACTACCACTCAGAAACAATGCACTCCCAGCCACATTGTGTGCAGAGATGGAAAGCAGGGATGTCTTGAGCCTAAGGATAACTAGGACCTGCTGTCCCAGGACCCTCAAGAATGATCAGCTTTCCCATTGCAAGGAAGAGGGAAGAGCCATGGCCAGCTGCAGCCACTGGGCCTTCCTCTGTGTCCATCCTTTCCCTAAGGCTGACTCTCCATGTAATCCACATGCAAGAGCCGCGCCCCAAGCCCAGACGGTGCCTTTTGTAGAGGACAAGGGGCCCCTTCTTCCAGGCTTAGCCAACCTTGTGTCTAGCCCCACAACTTGCTAATCAGTGAAGCCTGTGCCTTGAATGATGCCCCACATCCCTCCTTAGCCATTCTAGCTGCAGACAGGAACAACTATACTACCCTGACTCACCCGAGGCTCATGCTAGTGTGTGCCCGCAATGATCAGATCAGAAGTTATCACATGCTCTTTGGCATATCAGAGGACACTGAAATCCAGAATTAACCTTCTGAAGAGGATGAAGCTACTCTGACAGGAGCCACCACTTCTGCTCTGGGCCCAGCTCTACACAGTTCTGTGTTCCTGCTCCACACATCACACTTGCTTACGTCAAACCCTGTTGTGGTCACTTGCCCAATCCTCAAGAGCTGGCTTCTTTGAAGGATAACATCTGTCTCTGGACATCTGCCTTGCTCTATCAGATTCTCCAATATCAATAAGGTATCCAACAATTCAGTTCCATTCTTATCATGAACTACCCAGAGCAAGCACACAGCCTATGGGACTATAGACCATAGACTCGCACTCAAAAGAGTACCTCAACTTCAGAACCCCTCAACAACGGGTGCCTAGGTCAACCCCTTCTGTCCTCTTGGCTCCTCATTCAAGGTTCCCACTGCTATCCTCAGTATTTCACCAGGGTAACTCACAAAACTCAAGAATACACTGAGTTACCATAAGAGATATGACTCTGGACAACCAGATGGAAGAAACAATAGAGAAAGGGCTGAGGGAGGGGTAGCAGCTGCCACACCCCCTCAGGATATGCCATATACCCAGAACCTCCATATTTCAGCAACCTGAAAGCTCCCTGAAGTCCCTCATTGAGGGACTTTATGGCAGCATCACAGGGGTGACTGACCAGATCAAACCACTCATCATTAGTCGTTAAACTTGGTCTCCAGCCCACCCCTCTACTGGTTGATTCATCTGACAACCTGACCCCATTCTCCCACAGTTGCTGCATTAACAGAGACTCAGGTGCCATGTCACCACACAATCCTTTTGACCTGAATTAGGTCCCCAAAGCCCAAATAAAGGTGGACAGAGAGAACCAACTGTACAAATTGTCCTCTGACCTCCACAGGCTGTGAAAATTGTGCATCAACCACCCCACCCTACCTACCCCCACACAGTAATAAAAACAAACAAAATAAAAATGTTAAAGACTTGGGAGGCACCTCTCACTCCTCCCATGCAGGAGCTTCCTATGAGCGCCTTGCTAGGAATCAAGCAGACTCATCGAGAGTCACCACCACCACCCCACCCCACCCCACCCCCGCTAGAGTAGATATTGCCTGGGAAATAAATGATGGCCATGGCTGCTTGTCTTTGATCCTCAAACCCCTGCCAGATGGTATTCACATCCCCACTTTAAAGAAGGAACAGGGACATGGACAGGGTCCAGCCATGCTGAACAGTGACCCAGCTGGTATTGGGTGTCAGGAGTGACTCAAGATGAGTAACTGAGAGCTATTCACATGGCCCAGTACTAAAACGATCTGTTTCTCATGGAGAAAGAAAAAACCACCCAAACCACTATTAGTTTCAAGAAGTGGTATTTTGATCAGCTGGACTTCCTCTGAACAATGTGAGAGATGAGTCCCAGGGACTCGCTGTGTTGGCTTCCTCTTCGGGGCTAAGTGCCTATGGACACTGTGGCAGTGCCTATGTGAAGCCCAAACCAACCTTGGTGAGCTTGGTGAGTCCTTACCCTGATGGACTCTGTTATCCAGGAGCTTGGTTTGTGGTCCAGGTTTCTTCAGCATCCAGGCTACTCCCTTACTTCTCAGTGCTGTGAACGGGAAGAGGAGTCAGCAGACTTGGACGCCCATATACCTGGCCTGCTTAATCATTCCATCCACATGCTGTAACTGGAGGGAAGTATACAGCTCTCCAGAGCCACTCCAATCTCTTATCTCAGTCCAGGCTCTCTTGAATTTCACCTGATGTAATGTAATTGTTCACTTAATCCATAGGTATGGTTGCTGGAAACATAGCTGTACAAGGAACAACATCTTTTCCTAAGAGATCTTCCTAAGTGGGAGACCTGGACATACAGCAACTACAGTTAAAGCTACTGCTAGACATCCCTCCCTCTCATTTCCATCCAACACCCCATGTCTTTGTGTCCATGCTAGCTGTCTAGGTGAGAGAGCCGCATCCCCATCCTAAAGGACATCAGAGCATCCACTGAAGCTGGCTGAGTGCAGATGGGGAATACCAACCTCATTGTCAGTGATCGAACAGGACCCAGACAGTCCCCAGAGGTGATCAGGCAATGTCATCTAGCTGGAGGTCCCTGGATTGGGGACCACTCCAGGACCAAAGGCTTTTTCTCTTTTAAAGATGAGACTAGCTCTTGCCCTCTACTGAAATTTGAACCACATATCAGCACTCCAAAATGGAATGGGTCTTTTGTCTCACTTACTAAAATCAGGAAGAAGAAGGATGTCCATTCTCTCCTGTTCAACATAGTACTTGAACCCTCTTTGTTTTTTTTTTCCTCAATGGGACCATGTTAAATAAATCTTTTTCTGCTTTTCACTTAAAAATTTAATAAAATAAAAATATAAATAGAGGACTGGCATTTCTGGCCTGGCCCAAATTTAGGGAGGCATAGATGGTCTGGTGGCTGCTTAGCTTCCAGGCTACAAGTGTATAGCCTCTTCTGTGTCCCTAAGGCACCCTGAGCATGCTGCCGAATGCTCTACCATAAACTATATTCCCCATCACCCCATCTTGCTGTAGATGGGCCTCTGATCATCTCTTGCCTAAGCCATTCCCACCCTTTTGCTCACCATCCTCCTACCCCCAGTGGAGTCATCTTGCCTGTGTGAGAGCCATGCTGAAATAGGAAATGCAGTCTGGGTTGGAAAGATGAAACCCAGTGGCAGAGAGTGGGATGTTGACTTCCTCACAGAGGCAGTGAACAAAGTCTGAGGGACACGTTAGAGAGCCATCCCCTGCCCACAGGCATTCTGACAAGGTCTGGTGTCACCAACCACAACTACCACAAGATGCCACCTGTGCTCTGCCATAATCACCACCCACCCACCCACCCCCATCCCCCTGTAGCAACTCAGGCTCATATTTGTCTTTCCTTCCTGGGATTGTGGGTGCTGCTCATTGCAACTGCTCCTGTGCATCGGTGTCATAGCTTTTCTGAACTAATTTGGTTAACTGCATATTTCTTGTCATGTGTGGCTGTTGAAGTTTTTCAACATCTCAAAGGCTAATTGGCAACTGAACAGAGATTTTAAACACAGCGTGGAAATTCTCCTAGTCTCTGTGGTGTCTTGCGTATGTCTTCCACTCTCAGCCTCTCAGCTGACAGCTCTGCCTTACTCTTTACCTCATGCTGAGAAGAGCTTAAAGACCACAGGGAGGTGACAGTTCAGGGGCCTTGTTGGGCTTGTTGTTATGATTCATATGGGAGGTATTCTCCACAGGCTTGTTTTGAAGCTCACAGCACTTTCTTGAAGGCCATCATGGCTTTGGGGGATAGAGTCTGGCAGTAGGTTGACGTGAAAGTATACCCTGGTTCCATCTGTGGTCTCTGTTTCCGGGTTGCCTTTAAGTAAACATCCACCGCCTCTTGCCCCACCGCTATGCCTTCCCCACTACAGGCTGAAATCACTTGGGAACCAGGCACCATAATAAACCTTTCTTCCCTTAAGTTGTTTCTATCAGGCATTTTGGTTACAAGGCACAAACATGCGTTAGACTTTCTCTCAATTCTTTCTCTCCAAAACATCTCATCTCCAAACAGTTTCTCCAAAGCTTTACATCAAGCTAATTTTTGTCCTGTTATCTACTGCCTGAAGCTCCAGTGACCAAAACATTTGCCTGTGACAGATTTGAGGGGAAGCTCCTGCTCCCTGCTGTGCGTGGGAGAGTTTTGGGTTAGTGAGATCAAGGCAAGGCCCCAGCAGAGTTTTCATTCCCTGCAGGGTGTCACTGGCATGGAGGCTAAGGCCTCTGTGAGATTTTTGCTGAGCTGGAGAAGTGTGACAGGCCTTGAGTGTGGGCGGGACAAGGGTCACAAAGATGTTCCTACTGATCTCTAGTGCAGGTTTCTCCGTCCATGTAAGCTTAGGTTAATTTTTATTATATATTTTATTAGTTCTTTGAGGATTTCATGCAAGTTTTGATCATATTTACCTACCCTCTATCCCCAATTCTTCCCACGCCTATCCATTATTTCCTTCTCACCCATCTTCATGTTTCCCCTACCCCATCAAGGCCAATTTGTGCTGCCCAAATATTGTTAGACGTGTGGCCTTCCACTGGAGGAGGGTAGACTTTGCAGAGGCTACGTTCTTTAAGATAACCGGCCCTTGCCCTCCCAGCAATTAAGAATTGCCAGTTATCGTTAATTTTTAAAGTTTTACAATGTTATCTTGCCAACTCTTGACAGCTTTGTTGTTGTTATTGTTGCCGGTGTAAGGGGGAGACTTTTGAAATCCCTGTCATTTCATTTCCCAGCCATCTGTTTACTCTTTCTTTTGAAACTGGGGTACATCCGTTGTAGAAAATGACTTCTGACATGTAGATCATGTAGTTTAGTTGTACTTCCCCCTCATTACCCCAACTCCACTGTTCATTTTTAAACATGCATTTTGTATATTCTATTCATAATCTTAGTTGGAAATCTTTGTGTCTTGTCTTGGTTTGTAGGGAGCAGGAAGTCCCACAATTGGAATTTCCTGGTAATTGTAAATTCTAGCCCCCTCCTTTACTCATACAGGGAATCTACTCTTGGATCATACACACCTACACAGCGCCATGGGTGGGATCCTCTACACGCTGTCCTCTTCTACTGCCAGCCTTTTCCTAGGCACACCACACAGTGAGCCACCACATGGAAACACTCCTTCTTTTAGCTCTTTCAACACCCGGTCCTCCTGTCTGGGTTTTCCCTGCCTTCTCTGTTCTTAACCAAACCTCCCTCTTCCTTCTAACAATGTGTAGGTACTGGAGTTCTCTGAGTTTGGTTCTGGCTTCTTTTACTTTTCACATTCTTCTCAGTGATCTGTCACAGTTAGATGCCTAGACAAGACTCTCCTCTGAATGACATTCTTATGTCCAAGTCTCCAGTCAACATCTCCACTTAATGTCCCTCTGTGGTCAAGACCAGATCCCACAGATGTGACTCCATGAGACTGGTTTGGTTCTAAGTACTAGCAAAAATGACACATTAGGCTGAAGTTGCCTCATTGGCTCCACTAATGATTAGGAAGTCAGGGCCAATGGGTGGGAAACCATGCAGAACTGTGCTGGGCTTGAGTTCAAAGCTAAGGCTATGAACTTACCAGACTGTGCTGCATGTTTTGTGAACAAAAGGGTGCTTGTAGAATTCATTAGCTAGATGTTCATAAATGACCTACAGTAACATCATTTAGTCACATGTCAGTGGTAGTGGTACAGACTACATGGCAATGTTAAGTACAAACTATACTTTGGAGAATACTAGCTGATGCCAGGGAGCCTAGTGGTCCCTGGGAACCAGCTGAAGGAAAGTAGTATGCAAACACTTGACCCTGGCAGAGATGAAATGCAGACAGCTAAGCCCCAGTTAGATTTTGAAACAGATTAGGATAAAATAAAGATTGGAAGGAAAGTAGCTTGGTAGGAGAACCTCACCCAGAGGCTTCCCTTAGGTGAATGGAAGTCACAGTTAGTGCAGATCAACAAGAGTCTCCTGAGGAAACAGAATGAATGGCTAGAGGGGCTGGGTCTAGAAAGATGGCCTATGGCTTCCAGGCTGAGATGAAGTTCATAGCACAACTAGGGAAATAGGGAAGGAAATGACTTCAGCTGAGAATGGACAAGGGGGAGACTGTGTGTCTGTGTTGGTCAGAGAGATGAGGAACAGGCAAGCTTGGACTGAGGGGTATGACATAGGCTTCCTTTCCAATGAAAAGGCAACCAAAGCAGCTAAAGGCAAGAAGGGGGATTTATTGGAAGTTTACAAGACTCTTTGGGACTTAAAGCTGGCTTGGAACATGAACAGAAGTGTCAGTGGCTGTAGAGGTCTTACGTGCTAGCAGCACAGGCCGGCAGAGGAACCAGGATCCTGCTGTAGGACACCTCCCCTTGTTTCAGGGTGCTGTTGTCACTGCAGAACTTTGTCCCTGCTGCAGGCTAGAAAGTTGATTCTATCCAGGTTAGCTGGGCTGTGTCTGACTGCTTACTGGGGACCAAACAGATCAGTTCTTTTTTTTTTTTCACCTGGGATACTTATTTTTATTGGTGTCTGGTTCTTTTTACTGAAAACACAGAAACATACAAAGGATATATATATATATATATATATATATATATATATATATGCATTAATACAAGTATGGAATATGCAGTGTGCACAAGTCAGCTGAAGATGATTTTTTTGTTCTATGTTTGAACAGGTAAAAGGCATCTGCCAACTTTGTAAGTCCATTTGGTTGCACAACCAAACTGTAATATAAATCTCCATCATTGTCATATGAAAGGATGACATGTAATAATAAGTCATGAGCTAACAAGATTTGTCATGTCTCATCCAGTCTCAGAGCTATTCCCATGTCAAGGATCACCTGTCCTGTAGTCTTTCTTGGCTTTCCCTCATGTCTGCAGCCAAGATCTTCAGAGGGTCTCCCCCAATCAAAACTGATCTCGATTAACTTGGAAAGAATCTACAGCTTTTCATTTCCTGGTAAGGGGGAACAAATCTCTCCCCCATTGTAGCTTATTTCTAGACTTCCATTCTGAAGCCAGGACATTTCTAAAGTATATAAATTGGTTTAATTCAGTAGTCCCTTCCACAATCCAATGTTTCTCAGCAGCTGCTGTTTTCTGTTCATTATGATTTAGAAAATTCAAAATTAATAAAGCACCATATAAGGTCCAAACTCTTTGTGTTATAATATATACCATCTTTACATGGCTTATATTTATATTACTTTATTCTCTTTAAAGACTTTATTATTTTAAACTATTTATTTATCTGTTATGACTGTCTATACCTGTTTTTTACTGTGTCTATTTAAAGATTTTCTGGGCCCCATGGTCCAGACCGATTTACTGTACACCTGCAGCCTTTTTTGACTGCATGAGTCAAGCCTTATCCCTGCTGCACCACTCTGTACATGGCTTTGGCTGACCCAAGCCCACAGGCAACATCCAGGAGCTGCATTTCTGAGAGACTGTGGCACTAGGAAGTTATGTCTGGGTCTATTTTTTCCTGTTTGGAACTTTTTTTTATTGTGACTATATAAATTTTATTTTTTTATATCAGGATTTTTTGCTATTATTTTTTATTTGAATTAGAAACAAGATTGTTTTACATATCAATCCCAGTTCCCACTCCCTCCCCTGCTCCCCTACCACTCCCCCCAACTAAAACCCTACCTGTCTCATATCCTTTCTGCTCCCCAGGGAGGGTGAGGCCTTCCATAGAGGGGGTCATCAGAGTCTATCATATCCTTTGGGATAGGGCCTAGGCTCACCCCCATGTGTCTTGGCTCAGGGAGTGTCCCTCTATGTGGATTGGGCTCCCAAAGTCCACACCTATGCTAGGGATAAGTACCGAACTACTACAGGAGGTCCCGTAGATTTCTGAGGTCTCCTCACTGAAATCCACATTCAGGGGGTCTGGATCAGTCCCATGCTGGTTTCCCAGCTATCAGTCTGGGGACCAAGAGCTCCCCGTTGTTCAGGTCAGCTGTTTCTGTGGGTTTCACCAGCCTGGTCTGGACCCCTTTGCTCATCACTCCTTGTCTGCAACTGGATTCCAGTTCAGTTCAGTGATTAG